GGCATTACCGATACTAGTATCAGTATTGGAATAACTCTACTAAAAAGATAATAAATCAGCTCTGTCATACTAAATATGAGATGAGAGTTGAAGGAATATTAATTAATTTTTTAGCTCAGCCTTAACTGCTGCTGAGACGTTCTAAAACCAGCTGATAGGAAATATAAAGATAAATGTTCTCGTGACATCTAAATCTGTGCTTTTCACTGACTGAAAATTGCTGAAACAAATTTCATGTTAACAAAGCACCCAAAGCTTCAGTAGGGTGAAATGTCTTCTCTCCATTCACGTGGCTGGCTGCTAAATGGGAGAAAAGGATGGAGCACGTTGTCTCAATATAATAATGGAGCTGCAATGTTCACAACAAGCATATTATTTCACGTTCATGTATTATGATTGTATCACATTAGATATAATGGGGAGTTAACAGCATATCTATGTAAATCACTGCTTTTTCTTTGCTACTTTATTTATTGTGTTTGTTCTTGTACGTCGCCGAGTTCAGGGGCATTATGCTGTAATGCTGCCGAGACATGAATCAATACTTATGAATTACACTGCTCCTGCTCTAATGGCAAGCTACTGCGATACTGTGCCTAGCCTGAAATGTATTTAGTGCACACTGAGATGATGGATACTAAACTACCATTAATGAGGAGGTTTCTTTGTAACTGTATTTTAAATGTATGGATTTAAAAATCCTTTTTTTCTCTCTATGTAAGAGAGACTGAGGGTAGCACCAATGTGATACACCGTCACTTCTCTGGTTGCTATGGTGATCTTTTTTGTTTAAATGTGGAATTATAGTTGACTACTGATTACATGAATAAAAGAAAACGATTTTTAAACTATACCTTCCATTCATTTATTCCACTTTTCTGTGCTTGTCATATCTTATAGACTCATTCTCACTTAGTTTCTTTCTTTCTTTCTTTCTTTCTTTCTTTCTTTCTTTCTTTCTTTCTTTCTTTCTTTCTCTCTCTCTGTCTTTCTTTGGTCTCAGCAATGCTTCTTATTGCCCTGTGCACAGCATTAATAATTGAGAGCATTTTATGCAGACAGTGAGTTTTGGTGCCCTGAGCCCTTTGGTCATGGATCCATGGCACTAATGCTGGGTGGCAGGCCAGTTTGAGGCCCCGCACTCCAAGTCCAGGCTAGGGCACATCTGTCTGGCTGACTGGCCAATCTACGGCCCCCCGATCCCTCAGCTATTCCGCACACAGCCGACATGCACACACGCATGTGCGCATACACACCTCGAAGATTCACAGACCATTTGGTGTGTGATGTGGAAAACTCGCAGCAGACTTACGCACCTTATACAAACAAGCAAAGGCCACAGACAATGACTGACATTTTCAAAACCCCTCAATAACTGTGAACCACTTTGCTCTCTCTCCTCTTTTATAAACACTATAATTCTCACTCACAGGCACCATCATACACTCTCTCTATATAATGTATACGAGATAGAGTGAATGGTAGGTTGTATGAGATGGTAGTTTGTCTGTTTATACGAGGGAATGATGGTGTGTGCGTGTGTGTGTGTGTGTGCGTGGCTGTGTGTGATTGAAAATGTGTCTGATAGACATTAAAGTGTACATAAACAATGGGAGTGTGTGTGATAGATAAGAATGTGTGTATGACTATGATAACCTATGAGGGAATAAGTGTGGTTGAAAAAGAATGACTGTGAATGTGTGCAGGGGCTGTTCATTTGAAAATGAAGGCAGTTTCATTGAACAGGAAGGCAGAACTCAGTCAAACTCAGATTTTCAGTTTCTGATTGGCTTACAGCCTTCTTAGAAACAAAGCCTGTGCCTACACTTTGGAATGACTAGAAATGTTAATGAGAATTTAAATTAGGCTACAGAGCATTTACAGAAAACCTCAAATGCATCAAGTTCTGTTGAAACAATAGCAAGATCACCAGCACAATGACTGGTTTGGTTATTTACCTTCTCCTCTACATGGGTTTAAGAGCTGGAAGGCAACCATGAATTGAAAGTTCAATACTATTTACACATCAATCAACTCCTCACACACAGCCATTCTGAGTAACACGTACTGTAATTTTCTCGTAGATACCGTCTCCTGTCATTCTGTTTTACACACACTACTATACTCAGTCATACACAGCAAGCTGTCATTTTCTCTAGCAGCTCAGTCTGCTCTATTCATCAAATGCACCCACTGTATTGTGGAGTGTCTGTTTACTTGCCCTTAGTAGTGTCTGTGCATTTGCTAGCTAGCAACGTACGCATCGACTATGTGTGCGCAGAGTGAGCCTATGTTTTTTTTTTGTGCCTCAACTCAAGACTCAGACTGACCTCAACACATACAAGAGACCTGACCTCTTCCTATTATATTCTGTTATATCCTCCAGTCTCGATATGTTTATGAACTAGAGTCATAATCTGCATCTGTACACTTCTACTTGCATTCTCCATTGACTCTGTATCCAATCACACCGCCTCTGAAATTCACTTCCCTTTCAGGCTGAACATGTTCAGAGCAGAGTATGACTTTAAGAGTATAGTTGCATGAGTAAAGAACACTGTGATGGTGTGTATTAGAGAATATAGGCTATTTACACTCAGTGCCCATTTTATTAGGTACACCTGCACAATCCTCAAAGCAACATTCCTGCCATAAATTCTACCTTTACGGAGTTTATGATGTTCAGTTATTGTTAACATTGACGTGACATATACAGTATATACGACTGATTGAGATCATAGTTAAAGTTGGTGTTGTACTAACTGTTTGCCCTCCCTATTGACAAGATATCTATAATGGTCCAGTGCAACACCATCACTAAATATGACCTCACTGCTAAAAAACAACTTAGGGAATAGATCTATGACAGTGTCAACACAAACTGAAGATTACGTTACATCATAAGAGTTGACTTTATGACAGAACAGCTGTATTAGATTGCATTAGGTTGTACAGGTGTACCTAATAAAGTGGCCACTGAGTGTACGTGTGTTGGAGAGTGTATGTAAGCACACAAAATCACTGTTATGGATCAAAGAAGGCATGCTATTACATATGGAGAAGTATTGTGATGATGTGTTTGACAGCAGTTATGATTTATGACCACTCATAAATATTACTCCTTAGGCAAACGTGTGCATGCGTGTTTATGAAAGACAGCATATATGCTTCACATGTGTACGCATTCACGTGTAAGAGACGAAAGGGAAGACGCTTTGGTGCAGGTGTGCAAGTGATCCTGAGAGAGTGTGTTTATTTCTATGAGATGAAGGTGGGAAGGGATGATGGGATGGAGGGTGGATGAGACAGGAGAGAAGGAGAAAGGAGGGAGGGAGGAGGAAGGAGCGCTCCAGTCCTGTCGCCTTGGGTGCATCAGCAGCAGGAATTGTTCTCTGCCCTGTGGGGGCCATCTGACTGTTCTGTCACCCTCCACAGAAGGCTGACTCTGCCTTAAAGTGCTCGGCCCCGCGCCTGCAGTTCGACATGCTTGATGTTTAATACATACACAGGGAGAATATTGAGAACGCCTCAGGAGAAATGCAGCACACAGGCTGAAAGGGGGAGAGTTTTTTTTTTGTCAGTTTGTAGAACAACCACGAATAGAGGAGCTCCTGTACAAAGTGTGCGTGGGCAGACTGTGAACATAATTGCCCGGGATTCGAACCAGAGATGGAGCTCTATCGCAAATTTGAAATATACTAGATCCAAGAGTTAAGCACCTCTCAACAGAGCACACTTGTGATGAGTGGGGGACAGCCTCACACTGGTGATTGTGTAATGCACTGACATTTCTGTGCTGGGAAATATACGTCACATTCATACATGATGCTTCGGATAAAACAACAGTCATAAGCCGAAACGCCCTCTCCCAATGTGCCCCTGTGCTTCTGCAATCAGCCCAAGTGTGGTGTAATTCAGGGCATCACTCTTCAATAAGGCAGGAGAACGGGCCTCAGGGGTGACCCTCCTGCTTAAGTCAACACAATGAGTGTAATGAGGTGAAATACACACACACATAGGCACACATGCACACGCGCACACTGAAGATGGGAACCCTTGCTGCATAGTAAGTGGATTTCATTCATCTACATGCACTGAGCCTGATGTGGAAGTTCTACTCACACCCACACCCACACATTTAGCAGCACAGGGAGCGTTTCACTCCGTAGCTTATTACAGGTGAGAAAATCATTGCAGACTCCATCAGATATATAGCTGCGGTGAGGATTAATATTGCTTTGTGTTTCACTTGGCATTCACATCATTTCAAGGTAGGCAGAGCTTTAATTTAAGCCAATATTGTTATCTCAACAGAGAGAATTTGAATTTGGGTTGAAAAAAAAAAAAGATTCACACTGTCATTAATCAGTTATGAAAATCAAACATTAAAAGCCAACGTTCCTGTTTGACATGTCTGTGTCTCCTCTTTTGCACCTAACTGTCACTGAGTTCATCAGTTCTGAGTCCATAATTAATCAACCCTGCTATGTAAGTAGAACTGGTGCCTTTCCTCTTATCATCACGTACAGCAACCCACGCCCTCTGGGCCATCAGCGGATTAGTGATGAGTGCCTATGATAGAAGAGCCCCTAACAAAGGCCTCATTAATTAGCCTAACACTGACACTGCGGCCGCAGTGTGCAACACATGTTCACTCTAATCAAAACTTTAAAGGAACATGATCGACCTCCCAATCACCCACGGTAATGCACCGCATGATATGAAACCTTGATGCGCGCATGCATTAAGTTACGCGTGTGTGCAAGAGGGGGCGAAAGTGCACCATTTCCAAATTAACATGGCAACTTTCACACATCGCTGACCAACCGGTTATGCTGCACTTTACTAAGAAGGCTATGAATGATTGATCAGACAGGTGGGATCGAGCAGGGCATAATTCAGAGGCGATGAAGAGGGACAGGCATGCAGAACTGTCCAAAACTGTCAACATGTCACCAAAGTGGAGCCCAACAGAGATCGGGTGTATTGTAGCTACTCACTCGCCCCCCTGGTGCGTTAGAGGAGCATCCCGGTCTCTCACGGCCAGCTCTTCAGATGAGTTCTCCTGGGACAGCGCGCCTTGATCCTCACTATCATTCTTTGCAAAGCTCCAGCCTCCTCACAGCCTCCCCTTACTCTTCTTCTTTGACATCACATGGAAAAAAAACAGCTGCATGCCAAACGAAATTCGCCTTTAATTGTTGTTTGGGGGTTACAGTCGTCCGTCTCTCCGTATGTAGAGCAGAAGTGACAGCAGCGGATTCCTATTTGAGGGGATGCTGACGCGCAACCGGAGGGGCTCGCCTCCTGCCTTTCTCATCTGGCTCCATCAGCTCTCGGTTAGGCAGCACCATGTGACTGAAACCACTGTGAAGACAGACGCAATAACGAATTTGGTTTCCGGTAGAGGCTTTCAAAATAAAACGTCTATTAACGAATGAAAAGCACAATTACTCTCGTTTGGCCAAAAGAGTCTGGAAAGAAATTAAATAAAGAATTAAACCTCAATAACAGCAAGCTAAAATTAGGCACAGCCCAAAATAGCAAATGAGTAAACACAGTAGGGAAAAAAAAGGTTTACTGAGCTTCATTCTTATTTCTGTTAATGCCATTGTATTGCCCATTACAATGGACCAAGAGCAATTTGAAATATTTGCATACGCAACTGAGAGAAACTTAAACCGTATTATTTGTGTTACATTAATTCAGTAAACATCACTCTTACAGCTTTCAGGAAAAGGCTAAAACTGATAAGGATACAATTCAAACTTCAAAATAAATTTGTTCTGATATGTTCGATATGTTGCACAATGTTTATATGCATATAATCACATAATAATATCACATTAAATAATTAAAACGATTTTCAGTGCAATGAAGTGTGTCTCTGTTAGCTACAGTCAGTGTTGTGCAGGCTAAATGTATGCTAACCTTACAGCCAAGCCAGTATGAAACAGCAATAAGTGGAAGAAAGGGTTTGTACAGCAAAACATGGTTAATACTGAGGAAATTTGACTTCAATCAGCATTTAGCATGACAGAAGACTCAGTGGCATGATAGGCTGGCAGAGCCGAACGACCAAGCCAAGCTACAAATTGGAAGTTTATTGGTGGTGATGTTGAAATCATGCGACCGCGGTGTAGTTCGTCGGTAGTCTAATATTAGCGTTTCGCTTCTGGCAATTGTATCAAGGTTTCAAAAATCATAAAAGTCGCATTTATCTGTAGAGATTACCGTGCTAAACAAAACGTGTAAGTATCATTTCATTCAGTTTTGCTTGTTGCAGATTTTATTTTTTGCAGTAAACCAGAAGCCAATGGAAATAACTCATTGGCTTTTTGATAACTTACACTTTAGGAATGACAATATCTGAATGTGCACTTTAAAAAATGCAAATGGCCTAATTTACTTACTTATTTACTACTTTAGAAACATTCTCTTTCACATATTAGACTATTTGAGAGATGTTGACTATTTGAGGAGATTTTCTGGCCTACATATTTAACCTACATATTATACAGACTGTGCACAAGATATATTCTTGGTTAAGTCTTTGTCTTTTGGCAGATACAAAGCCAACAGCACACGCTTAAAAAAAAAGAAAAAATGATTGATACATTAAACACATTGTTTGGAGAGTCGCATAGGCTACTTAGCAAGTGATTGACACATGAAACTCATATCTGCCCTAACCTCCCTCATCTGGTTTAATTTCTTGCTCCGCTTGCACTGCTCTTATTTCCTGTCCAAATTTCTAGGCCATAGACTTAACTGTATGAAATAAAGTAAAAAAGAGTGCCCTTCACTGAATGCAGTTTCACAGTTTTACCACAGGCTATATTTATAGTAAGGGAGCGTCCAACTAATGAGATGCTTTCATTTTGAAGGAAACTTAGCTAATTTCCTGCACTGTCCCGGCTTGTGTCTGGCTTGATGCACCTGTGAAGGCACCCTTTCAATTAAAACCGACCTCACAGAGGAGCGCCTTCAAGTGGCCAGTGTTAAAATAACACCAACTGCTCAAAAATGATTCTGGGGACCAGTATTTCTCCACCAAAGCATAATCCCATTATAAATTATTGACATGCTCCTCATAATAGCCTCTTTATTTATTCTTCATCGAGTCTGGAACTTTCTTCATGGCAAAAAAAGGGAGAAAAATCAGATGAGACTCTGCCTCCAAGGGCACATGCATAATCTTAAACTTTTATGAGCTTGCGCCTAAATAAAGAAAGCATTCATATGCTTGTCGGACAGCCAGTGGTAGCTGTAATTTGCAGCCATGTGGGCTAGTTTGTGTTGATAAATGTACTGTAGAGCTGAAGGGAACAGCTCATTTTGCTGATGATTTAAAGTTAGGTTATGGTGTATCATTTGTCACAGACATAGGTGTTAGTTGCACTAGTGCAAAGTATCCTGTATTGTTTCTGTTACCCACAGTAGCTGCCCAGGTGACACACAGTACTACAGCCTGAGTAATGCCATCATTTGTAAGGCTGCGGTATAAGCAAACTACTGTTGAACCACAATCATTTGGGGAGTCATTCAGGCTGTTGTAAGTATGAGAAAGGCTGGAATCTGTTTTGCTCTCAGGTCTCCATCAGCATCAGAAATGATGAACTGGCTGTTAGATAATAGTGAAAAAGACTTCTCTTGTGTGTATGGCTGCATGAAGAATTTTCACTGGTGTGTTTGAGCGCCAAATGTGTGAGAAGAGAAAGAAAGAAAGAGTGGGGAACTAGAAGTGACAGCCTAAGACGCTTTCAAAGAGAAAAAAGCCTTGTCCTTTTGAGGTCTTTTTTTCTATTGTTGTCCACTGTGAGCCAGACTCTTGGGTCTCCTCCACAATGCAGGTCCCCTCAGAGCAGCGCACCACTGGCTGTCCTGTCACTTCACGTTAGTGTCTTTGTGGAGAACAGCAGCCCCTGAGGGCCTGGACACACTTGTCATGAAAGAAGTGTTCTGGACACACATGCACACCCACATACACACAGAGTGGGTCGATAAGGAGGTGTTGGGCAAAATGGGCAAAAATGGGAACACGAGGAGAACCTCCATCAAAGCTTCTAATAGAACTATAACAGTGACCTTATTTCAGCTTTAGCTCTACTCTCTCCCAGCTACCCACCAACCCAAATACACACACACACACACAGACATTTTTATGGCACACATTCAAAAAACATGTTCTCATAAGAAATGCAGTTTTGAATGAGTGAGCTTCATGCATGCAAGAAGTGCAGGACAGTCACTAATGTATTCTACTAGTAGCTCTGCCACTTCCTGGCTTGATGTGTAACAGTAAAACATGACAGCCATTACAAATTGGTTAATACTACTGTGCACGCGCACACACACACACACACACACACACACACACACAGAGACACACACAAACACACACACACTCTCAAAATGTTTCTACATTTAATAATGTGTTAGACCCGCTGGTGTGTCCACCTTTATAAAGCCACATTGTGTAGCCAAGCTTTGTTTATACCCACAGAACTTAATTGTCAGAGTTTATAAAATGTTTACAAAAACAGGACCTATAGCAATTATAAATATATTGTTCTGAATTTGTTGTGAAATGTGTATAGACCAGCAGAACAAACATAATCAACGGTTATGCATGAAAATTGTTTCCTAACCTTTAAAGAAAAAAAAGACTATATAGTATTGTCAAAAAAATTGGGTAAACTATAGTCTGTTTTTGAGTAGCAATATATCTACAAGTCCTCAAAAGGTAAAGTTTTTTTTTTTTTTTTTTTTTTTTTTTTTACAAATACTCAACAGGATGCACCACCTGACTGCACAGATTACAAAGTATGCGCCTAAGAATGCCAGTCTGAGAAGAAACATGCCAAAAATTAAATGACAGAAGTAGGCTTATAACAATATATTAACCATTAAACCTAGACAGATGCAAGTGCAGTGTGTTTGCATGGGCTACTAGAGTGATGCTCAAGCTTCAAACGGATCACGATTTTTTTTTTTCCGTTTATGAGGCCTCATGATGAAAGAAATGCTTTTTTTTCTTTTTCAAAAAGGTACCCAATTCGTGGCTGCTCACCGGCTTCCATAAATACCCCGAGGTTATTTTTGGCGATGGGGGGAGGAGCTCCTTCTGGGCTCGGCTGCACGCAGGTGGGCAAGGCGGCGTGGGACGGCGGAGAAGAGAGGAAACGAGCGGCATAGGCTACTTTAAAGGGGCAGAGCGGAGGAGTGTGTGATGAAATGAGATGTGAAGTGTTCCCTCAGTAAGCCCGGAGACGCGTAAAACATTTATCAAGCTGGTGGTGAGGAGAGAGGAGGGACCTGCCTCCATACACTCCGAGAGAGGAGGAGGAGGAGGAGGAGGAGGAGGAGGGTGACTGAGAGAGTTGCTTTTAAGATCTTTTCTATTATAAATCATACCGAGCAGTGGCTACCCAGAAGGCAAATGGAGATCCAAACAAAAGGTCTATGTGGAGAAAGGGAGGCAGGGCAAGGAGGATTTGGAGAGAAGATGGGAGGTTCGAGGTAGAGGAGGTGTAAGAAGTTGTGTGAAAAAAAAACTTGGCATAAAATTGTTTTAAAAAAACAGGAAAGTGCCTTAGTGAGATGTGTTTTACAGGAGAGACCAACATAAAAGGGCACCTGTAAGAATTTTAATTGGCCTGCTTTAATAATTCGCTACAGTAGCAACTATGTAACCACATACATTTGGAAAATCACACAACTAAAGGCTTGGCTTCCATTTTGAATAGTGACCCTGCAGCCCGCCGCGATAATGTGCGGTGAGGTGCTTTTTTTGAAACTTGCCAGAGTGTGTCTCATCATACAGTCACAAGATGGCGCCTTTTCTCCACCAGCAGCAGCAAGATAGTAGCGGCTAATTTAACCCGTTGCCCCTCCTCAGCACACTCACAAGAAAATCGGTATCTGAAAATGAGACTCTGACATTTATTGTAAAAACACACAAGTATTCAAATATTTAACACCCCTCAACAAATATCTGCTCAAAATTGGCTTTTTCACTTAATATGTAAATCTAATTGGTACACGAATTTTAATTGGCTTAATGTATTTGGTCACCATGACAATAAATTGATTGTCCCTGTTAAAACATTTTGAATTAACAAGCACACAAGTTCTTGCCTGCCACCCTACAGCCATCTTCCAGGAACCGTGCAGTTGACGCCCTCGGTCAGACATCCCAGCCCCCGGTTGACTACCCCACCACCACCACCACCACCACCTCCCACCCCTCCTCCTCCTTTTACACACCGGCTCGCAACCATCTACCCAGCCAGTCACCTCAAGTGCGACCGTCCGGCTGCAGCTCAGGCAAGCAAACAGACCCAGACCAACCAGAGCGATCCTGCCGCGGGTTTTTGAGAGAGACGCCGGAGCAGAGGAGGAGAATGGGACGCCGGTGCCTGGATCAGGACTGAGTCTGGTCGGCGCATTCAGAGCTCCTCCGACCCGTTTCCAAGTCCTTTTCTCCCGACTCAGAGTCACGTTTTCACCGCTGACACAATGGGCTGCTGCAGCGGACGATGCACTCTCATCTTTATTTGCACTTTACAGTTGGTGAGTTGACCCACACTTCTCTACTTGTTGTTTTGCAAGTTGTAAGAATGCGGGGAAAAAAGCCTTAAGGTTACCATGATGTTCTCAGAATGATACTTTACAATCAAATGTCTGTTTTAATTGAGCAGTAGTCTGCCATATTCAGCTGAAGGCTGAGTGTCACATGTTTTAAACTGCTTGGACATGTTATAGAAATATCAGTACATCCTAAAAGTTCTATAACTCACTATGAGTACCAGACGCTCCATACAAACAAATTTCCATGTTTCCATACATCCCTCACTTATGTGGATATCTGCTGAAATTGTGTTTGTGTTTGTTATTTCATACCAGCAATGTTGTGTATTTCGTTGCTTGATTCATGGGGAAATGTGACAGAAAACATTTGGAAGTCAGTCTAACGGCCTCAAGTAGTGGCACAGGGATGGACAGTAGGCTATTGGGGGTAACTAATGCTGTGTGATGAAAGTGCATCAGCAAATTTATGGATTTGCTCTTATATGAATATTGTAATGGTGACCTATTATTTACTCAAGCATCATCCAAAGTCACCATCACATAAGAGGCATCAGCTATTCGCTCAAAGCCTGTGTCTGTAATTCAGATTAATATTCTGAGTTGCTGTTGCTTCATGATGGGAAACATCTAAGACGTCTGCTAAAAAATGCTGTTCTTCTCTGATCTTAACATTTGAGGAATTTGCTCATCAACGACTCAAACCTGCTGTGTCTTGGGAACTGTTGATCCACAAAAAAACAGTGCTGAGGCTTACAGCTTGTCGGAGCATTTCAGTTTCTGATCAGTGAAGTGTGGGGCTGTGACATTTTACTGCTGGTAACTGTGCAGTCTTAGATGATGCTTCCCATCGAGTCACAGGCCAGCTTGCTTTTGCTATAAGTGTAGAGTTTATTTGACGGGGTGTGACAATGTTATTTATGATGGTATTAAAAACTGAGCTTGCTCACACCATAAGCCCCAGAGTAAATGCCACTTTTAACAGCTAAGGGAGCAATAACATCTTCCCCAGACAAAGAGTCAAACAGGGAAAGTTCTGATATATTGTAACACGCATGAGGGGATCCAGAAACAAAGAGAAATGGAACAGAAAACAAAGGGAAAGCATGTGTTGGGAAGTGACAGTTGATATCAGCCATGGACGTCTTGACAAAGAAACCCATCGGCTGCCACTTGCTGAGTAAAAACGCTGTTTTCTTTCACAGTGTTGTATTCCCCATCAAGCCAAAATTTCTATATTGCTCTACAGGTTTCCTGCTGCTGTTTGAGTCGGCACATGCTGTCTCAAGTTTATACGCTTAGAAGTATAAGAAGCTGTTCATCTAGAATTGAAACGAACCACTGCCCGAGTTGAAATGCTTTCTCAGAGGAAAAAGATTAGGACTAGTGTTTGTTGCAGTTCTCTTTTCCTGTCATTTGAATGAATTCTTACCGCCTCCGGCCTTAGTTTCCCGCTGCTCTTTTCCCACTTCATCTTCAAAAATTAATAGAGAGCTGGTGTGTATTTGTGTGTAACACTTTGTGTGTATCTTTCAGGTTTCAGCTCTGTAAATGTGTTAGATAGTAAGGAATAGAAAACTCAGAAGTCTATATGGTTTAGGTCACAATGGACTTAGTATTGCTGCCTTATTAAAATTGCGACGTGCTCTCTGATGACAAACTCAAACACACACACACACACACACACAAACACAGAGGGCTATGAAGCCACCTTGAGGGACACACCTGTTTTTCCTTTCCAGACTTTGGACCTTTTTGCCTCATTAGAGAGAAGGAGGTCGACCATTTGTTAAGAGGTTTATAAAGCTGTCAGCGGGCTGCCTAAAAAGTCCCTGAAGACTGCAGGAAACAGCTTTATTTTCCCCTGGCACTATTTCTGGATGACCTGACACTTCCTGTCTGCCGAAACACACACACACAAACACACACACTCATACACATACACACCTGCACACGTCTGATGAGTTTAACCTGCAAAGAGGGGTTGCGTTAAACCCTGCAAGACCTTTCGAAAGGTCATCAGGTTGTAGGTGTGTGCGTTTATGCGTGCATGTGTTCCCATGAATATACATGTGCGCATGTGTGTGGAGCAGCACAAGGGGCCCCCGCTCTCCCCTGGCTGAAACCTATGCATTGACAATGAGCCAGGTTATTCCCAGTCCATTACAGGGTAAAACTACCATTAACAAAACAACATGACCTGCTCCTCAGATGTAAAAATAGCCCTTGTGAACCGCTGTGTGAGCTAATTAGCCAGGCAGAGTGCTTTGATCAAACCTCTTTTGGCATCTCGGCCATCCCCCTAATTGAATTGTGGTGCGCTTTCCTCATCAACAGGCCGAGCGGTGGGACTCATCTCTCTGGGACAGAAGGCAACAGATAATGAGCCTGTATTGATCGAAACGCCTCGGTTCCCTCTTCCCCCTGCTGCCTAACTATTCCAGACAGTAGGGCTGGATGGTTGTCAGAACCCCGATCAGCCCCAGAGAATGGCGAGTGTTGGCAGGAAGCCCTGTCTGTCTAATGATTTGTTAGTACTTCAAGACACAAGCGAGTTCATTTTTTGCCTTCAACGGTTGGTCGTTTGAAGTGTTGACCTAAAGCTGACCTCGCGTGGAAGCGATTCAATTGCTCAGATACGGGACCCAGTCCAGACATATTGTGAATGTCAGTGACCGGCCATGAGGAGGGACGTGGTCCTGAATAGAGCTGATGGTTAATGCGGCTCCGTGGACAGTAGGTGATTGATGCGGGAGGCCTCTTCGTTGGTCATGGTGGTCTTTCAGGAAAGGGCAGACGGGCAGACACACACACACACACACACACACACACACACACAGACACACACACACACACGCACACATAATCACACTGAGCAAGGGTAATGAGCTCAGAACTGAACATTGACCCTGAAAATGGCTTGCCCTAACTGCACCAGCACCACTGACTGATGCGACCTCACAGAGACGCAGACACTATTTCATCCGTCTCTCTTCACACACACGGACACACCCACAGACACAGCTGCGCATTCTGTGAGTTATGGATTAGTAGGTATAGCGCAGGGTAAAGATTATGGCCTTTGGAGGAAGTTCAGCTCTGTGGGCCTCTGACAAGATGTGAGAAATGAACGAAGGAGTTGGATGAGGTTTTTTTGATCGCAGGCAAAGAGAAGAAAAAGTCCGTGTTGTCAGAGTGAGGGGTTTGACTTGTGCCATTGTGGGACAAAGGGCTGTCAACTTGGTGACCCCTGGTACAGAGATCTCCAAGTTTTACCTCATCTTCACCCTCAAAACTAACAGTCAGACTTATCCACAGGCACTGTTCGAGTGTGTGTGTGTGTGTGTGTGTGTGTGTGTGTGTGTGTGTGTGTGTGTGTGTGTGTGTGTGTGTAATATCTTGCATCATCTCTCTGCTCTTTTGATGACATAGCTAGAGAATATACTAACTTTGTAGTGTAGGCTTCAGAGAGGAAGAGAGGGTTCAACCAAAGTGCTTCCAAGAAAGTTTTAGTGGATAGGCAGAGCGCTTCATCCTGAAGAGTGTTATCTCTAAAGGCGCGACATTATCCCTTGGCAGGCATCACGTCATCTCCCACACATTACAAAGGATTTAGGCTGTTTTTCCACCGCTAACTCTAACTCTAACTCGTTTGCCTTATGGAGGCGCTAACATTTAAATTTCCTGGTGAATATTCATGAGCTTAGAGATACTGGATGTCTATCAACATCCTGTCTCTCCCACCTCACCAGTCTACATGTGTACTTACACACACACACACACATTGCACACAAGGTCTTGGCCCACTGCTTTGACATTAATGCATCACACCGCTGTGATTAAGAGTAATTACTCCGTCTGGGGCAAATTGCATGGCAGTAAAACATTGTATACTATCAGGCCTGCAGACATGGGTGTGAGAGTTACTGCTGTTGTATAATCCTGCCAGTTTCAGAGGTGATGTATCAAAACCTGGTAACTAGTGAAATATGGAAGCTGTTCCTGGCAAGAGCTAGAAGATTTCAATTTTACCACTTACAGATGCTGCAAACATCTGTTTAGAGTAACTTGTTCGGTGGGTGCTTTGTTGATTGTATGTATGTGTGAGCGTGGAGTCTCGTGTGATCAGTGATAATGAACTATATTTCCTTGGCACTGCCAGGTTGATGGAGGAGATAGGCCAGCAGGAATAAAGTGGATGGTCACAGCTCTTTTATCTCTCTGTTTCTTTCCCTTCCTCTCCGCCTCTCTGGGCCTGCTATTAAGTTTTCATAAAGCCTCTCTGGACTGTGATTCATATCGTTGCGAGCAGAAACACATTTTTTTTTTCACTATTTGCTTTGGCTTGCACAGATGGCGGCAGAATAAGATAGCATCCCTGTCTGAATTATCCATGCAGAAACAAAATGCGGTGTCTGTGTGTGTTAGACACAGCTTGCTGTGCAGAGATGGGCTCTCCATAAACTAGGTGTATTCACCAAATGCCAGCAGATGCCAACAGCAATGTCTTTTTTTGGCCTCTTAGTCAATTTCTTATTTGGGAACACAAATTTAAACGGAGCTGTAGCAGTGTGTGCTTGCGGTTTTCAAGACAATTATCACTATGAACATGCAGGTTGGACTGGGGTTTATCAAAGCAATAAAGTCAGTGACTTTCTTTTTTACTGGGCATGTTCTTATTTTGTAGAATTTAGACATAGAAAAGTTGATTTGGACATATAGGATACCAACATCCTTCTTCATCATTACCATCATTACTAACCTAAACTAGGTGAGTACCACCAAAGCCTACATTTACTGCAGTCTGCAAATAAATCCCCAGTCTAGTCTAAGTAAGGATTTAATGGGAAATAATGTTGAATCGATACTAGCCCTTTTTACGTCCTAGATTGGAAGCCACATGTATTAGTTCAGGTCCCCAAGGCACTGTCTCGCCAGTCTGCACAAGCATGTTGGTAAGCCTGCTAAAGCCTGCTGGCTGAAAT